CGGTATAGAGAGAGAGACACAGAGAGAGAGAGAGAGAGAGCAGCAGCAGGTAGCAGGTCGAGGAGGGTTTGTGGCCATGGCGATCCTGTCGGATGTGGCCACCGAGGTGCTGATCCCGATCGCCGCCATCATCGGGATCGGGTTCTCCATCGCGCAGTGGGTGCTGGTCGCCCGGGTCAAGCTGGCGCCGTCGCAGCCGGGAGCGTCGAGGAGCAAGGACGGGTACGGCGACTCGCTGATCGAGGAGGAGGAAGGGCTCAACGACCACAACGTCGTCGCCAAGTGCGCCGAGATACAGAACGCCATCGCTGAAGGTGAGCACTGAGCAGAGCAGCCTCGCTTCTACTGTACTACACTTACTTAGTTCTTTCGCTTCGTCGGTTGCTTGCTTCCACGTGGCATATACATGGCGTTTGCTTTCTGCAATTTTTTTTTCCATTTTTTTGTTCGGAAAAAAAGTATATATATTTTTTTGTGGGAGTAGTTCTTAACTTGCACAATTGAAGAAAAAAAAAGTTGATTCTTGTTATTAGATAATGAAAATGGTTTACATTTCCTGCCTCTGCGGTTAGGCACACCACACGGGCATGGAGTTTTGGTACCTAAAATAAAATCGATTCTTCTTTGTTTTTTTTTGTTTGAATAATAATAATCGTTTATTGTGATGGTAGTCGTCTTCCGTCCCCGACGTAGATTATTGTTAGGTCACTGTTAAGTTTACAATTTGCAAATATGTTGAAAGTAGGAAATTTTCGCTTAGTTAGGCCTATGTTAATTAATCATCAGTTCATGAATGCAAAATGTTAATTTGCACGGTTGATGTTATAACCTTGAAAAATTCGATCTTTTTAAATCAGCCATGATGCTAAATGACGTATAGTTGATGGCATCAATGTTCATCCATTGAACGTGTAGCACTTTTGGGTCTTGAACTGGCATGGAGGATACTGGAACGCCTACTTTCCTCCCTAAAAAGTCACTCAAGGGCCCCATCTGGACCTACTACCGAGAGGATAATTATAGTTCAATATCACCACAAAAAAAAAAAACCATTCAACATGTGTACATTTTACATTGGTTAATTGATGTTACTGATAAGTTACAATTTTTTTTTTTACCGAATTGGCATTTAGAGTGTGCCGATTTCATTAAATATAGCCGGAGTTGTACACAAGTGTGAATGTTACTGATAAGTCACAGCACTTTGAGTGTAATTATCTGACATTAATCCTACTATGAGCAGGAGCAACATCGTTCCTTTTCACCGAATACCAATACGTTGGCGTTTTCATGTCGATATTCGCGGTGGTGATCTTCCTCTTCCTCGGCTCCGTCGAGGGATTCAGCACAAAGACCCACCCCTGCACATACAGCAAGGACAAGGAGTGTAAGCCTGCTCTGTTCAATGCCCTGTTCAGCACCGTCTCCTTCCTGCTTGGAGCCATCACCTCAGTGGTTTCTGGCTTCCTCGGGATGAAGATTGCGACTTACGCAAATGCGCGGACCACCCTGGAGGCGAGGAAGGGTGTTGGCAAGGCCTTCATCACCGCGTTCCGTTCGGGAGCGGTGATGGGATTCTTGCTGGCATCAAATGGGCTTCTGGTGCTTTACATTGCCATAAACTTGTTCAAGATGTACTATGGCGATGATTGGGAGGGTCTCTTTGAGTCCATCACTGGCTATGGCCTTGGTGGATCCTCAATGGCTCTGTTTGGAAGGGTGGGTGGAGGTATCTACACCAAGGCGGCTGACGTCGGTGCTGATCTTGTTGGCAAAGTTGAAAGGAACATCCCTGAAGATGATCCTCGGAACCCTGCTGTAAGTTTCTGGCATATAAAGTTGCACACTGTAATCCCTAAGAAAAAAAAAACTGCCCATGATAAACTGACAATTCTATTTTCAGACTATCAACAGTAGAATGTTGCAAAAAGAAAAAGCCTAATTAAGTAGTAAAGAGATAGTTGTTCATTGTTTTTTTTGGTGCTTCATGACTGAAATTGCCTGTCCTGTTTCTCAGGTGATTGCTGACAATGTTGGAGACAACGTTGGTGATATTGCTGGAATGGGATCAGATCTGTTCGGGTCGTACGCTGAATCTTCCTGTGCTGCCCTTGTTGTTGCTTCCATTTCTTCCTTTGGGATCAACCATGATTTCACTGGGATGTGCTACCCGCTGCTGGTCAGCTCCATGGGCATCATTGTCTGCTTGATCACCACTCTCTTTGCCACTGACTTCTTCGAGATCAAGGCCGTGAAAGAAATCGAACCGTCACTAAAGAAGCAGCTCATCATTTCTACGGCTCTGATGACTGTTGGTATTGCACTGGTCAGTTGGTTGGCGCTCCCATACAAATTCACCATCTTCAATTTTGGTGAACAGAAGGAAGTCACTAACTGGTAATTTTCTCGCTACCACTTGCTATACTTGTGTTTTCATGAGACATGTCTCCTGATTTATTGTGTCTATTTGATGATTTTCAGGGGGTTGTTCTTGTGTGTTTCGATCGGTCTATGGGCTGGTCTGATCATCGGATACGTGACAGAGTACTACACTAGCAATGCATACAGGTAAAAAAAAAAAATTCAATCAGTTACCAATGGCATATTCTTTGTATGCTAGATGGCTGTGTTTTTAACTTTTATCATGTTGCCACACTGCAGCCCTGTTCAGGATGTCGCAGATGCTTGCAGAACTGGTGCTGCCACCAATGTCATATTTGGGCTTGCTCTAGGATACAAGTCTGTTATTATCCCAATTTTCGCTATCGCGCTTGGTATCTACGTCAGCTTCACCATTGCTGCGATGTACGGCATAGCAGTGGCTGCCCTTGGCATGCTGAGCACAATTGCCACTGGACTGTCCATTGATGCTTATGGTCCGATCAGCGACAACGCCGGTGGTATTGCTGAGATGGCAGGGATGAGCCACAGAATCCGCGAGAGAACCGACGCTCTTGACGCTGCTGGAAACACAACCGCTGCTATTGGAAAGGTAATAATCATTTCGACAAATCCTTTGTAGCATACTCAGATAGGAACAAGCTTAAACTGATCATATTTTGGCTATGTGAAACCATGCTGTGAAAGGACATGTGCCTAGTGGTTACAGTGACTTGAGTAGCACCCTAAGGTCCTGAATTCAAATTGGGTTATTTGAGGGCTAAGTTCCATGTTTGAAAGGCTAAGTTACTAAATTTAAAAATACAATTCTCTAAAAAAAAGTGAAACCATGCTTGCATAGTGGCAAACCTGAACATTGCACTGTTCATTTTCAGGGTTTTGCCATTGGGTCAGCAGCACTGGTGTCCCTTGCACTGTTCGGCGCCTTCGTCAGCAGAGCCGGGGTGAAGGTGGTCGACGTCCTGTCCCCCAAGGTGATCATCGGATTGATCGTCGGAGCAATGCTCCCGTACTGGTTCTCCGCCATGACGATGAAGAGCGTCGGCAGCGCGGCGCTGAAGATGGTGGAGGAGGTCCGGCGGCAGTTCAACACCATCCCCGGGCTGATGGAGGGCACAGGCAAGCCGGACTACGCCAACTGCGTCAAGATCTCCACCGACGCCTCCATCAAGCAGATGATCCCTCCCGGCGCCCTCGTCATGCTCACGCCGCTCATCGTCGGCACCCTCTTCGGCGTCCAGACCCTCTCCGGCGTCCTCGCCGGCGCCCTCGTCTCCGGCGTACAGGTATGCACAAGAGACGATCATAGATCATGTCACTGAGTGACGGATTCACCTGACCTGACATTCTTACAGGTCGCCATCTCTGCGTCGAACACCGGTGGCGCATGGGACAACGCAAAGAAATACATCGAGGTGACGGCGATTCTTGCATCGATTACTCACTACTGTTCTTGCATCGTCAATCGATCTGTTTCTTGATGCGAATATGGATGGAAAATGTTTCAGGCTGGGGCGAGTGAGCACGCGAGGTCGCTGGGGCCCAAGGGATCGGACTGCCACAAGGCGGCGGTGATCGGCGACACCATTGGCGACCCGCTCAAGGACACGTCGGGCCCGTCGCTGAACATCCTCATCAAGCTCATGGCCGTCGAGTCGCTGGTGTTCGCGCCATTCTTCGCCACGCACGGAGGAATTCTATTCAAGCTCTTCTAGGAGAGAGAGATTTAAAATTCGATCGAATTTGAGGACGGACGGAGATTTTCGAATAATAACTAGACCACGGGATCATGTGGGCTGAAAAAAAGGAACCTCTGCAAATAATGTTGCTTTGGTGGTAGTGGGACACTATCTCTACGATTTAATTTTGTCTCATGTAGGTTTTGTAATTTGTTTTTAACTTGCTGCGTCGTTTTCAGTTTCTGTCTGCCTGAGCCCTGAGGCATCGTGAACTTCTTTTAGCTGATGTACGGCTTGTATAAAGTGACCAGATGGTTTTCATCTGCAGTTTATGTGCATATTTTTGTCATCTTAACATTGTCGCGCACGATGATAGACGGACGGAGTCATCTCGCAAGTTTTTCAAGTCCCTTCCGCCGCGGTTGTAAAATGTAAATTCAAACACGACACATGTTTTATATATTTGCAATTTTCTTTTGAGAAGGCACTAAAAATACAGTGAAGAGGACGCTAGGTGGCCAAGTGGGCGTAATTCAACATGTTGGTTATTTGTTGGTGGAACCAATCCACCTAGATTTAAATATGATAGATATAGGTGCTCGTATTTACAGTTTATTATACTTTTAGTGATAGACTGTGTATCCATTAACAACGAAATGATCTGACTCTGTCAATCTTAAAATATATTGGTCCAGCCTTTCGGAGATGTTCACAGAGTATGGTGTGCATGTCGCGTTTGTATTGTGTTTCTTTAAAAAATAAAAAGAAAAAGGAAACAAAAGAAAAGGACAAAAGACAGAAAAAAGTAAAAGAAAAGGAGGCTAGGCTAGGTGGGCCTGGCACGGGCCAGGACGAAATCGCGCGGGCCAGGGCACGAAGAAGCCCACGTATATAATAAGAGAGTAAAGGCGATAACCACCATGAGGTCCTTGACACCGAAGCACATAATAATGCTCGGTCGCGTCGCCTCCGCCTCCGCCTCCGCCTCCGATTGCGTCATCGAGATCGATCGCGAGGAATATACGCCCCATATATACTCTACTACTCGCCTTCGTCTCCTTCGCCCACACGTCACCGCCGCTCGCCGCCGCCGCCTCGCCGTTGACGGGCGGGAGGAAGGGCGGTGGCCATGGGGAACGCGTCGTCGATGCTCACCCAGTACGACATCGAGGAGGTGCAGGAGCACTGCAACTACCTCTGTAAGCAACTCTGCTCATCCTGATTGATTGATTGATTGATTGATTTTGTAATACACAAGAGGGTTTTCCTGATCGATTTGGGGGGTTTTGATCCTGTACATAGTCTCGCAGCAGGAGATCGTGTCGCTGTACGAGCGATTCTGCCAGCTGGATCGGAGCGCCAAGGGGTTCATCTCCGAGGACGAGTTCCTCTCCATCCCGGAGTTCTCCCTCAACCCGCTCTCCAAGGTTCTTTCTTCCCTATCCTATTCCTATCTCGTTCGATTCTTCGTCGGATGAACCAACTTTTACTGTATATTTATTCCCATCCATCGAAACAAAGCAAAAAAGAAAAGGGAAATATCTGCTTTTGTCTCTGTTGAGCACATGATCGTTTACCTTGCCGAATGCCACTCAAGCACAAGAAAATTAATGAATGCCACTCAAGCACAAGAAAATTAATTAATTAATGGTGTTGCTTTTCTAAGGCCGAGTTTAATTCTAAAGTTTTTCTTCAAACTTTCAACTTTTCTGTCACATCGTTTCAATTTCAACCAAACTTCCAATTTTGACGTGAACTAAACACACTCTAACTTGCCCTCACAGGCTCACAGAACCACTAAATTACAGGAGTACTATACTAGTAACACTCGGGAAAAATAGGTCACACAAGTGCGAATTCGCCCCTCATCTTATGCTTTTGCCGAATCATAATTATCCTAAACCAGGAAAATCTTCAGGGAAAAAAAAAAGACACTCCTAGAGAAGGATTGAAGCTCTTTCTTTTTTCTTTCTTTTTTACCGTAAAGATCTAGCATACCCTGTTTACACGCAGTTTCAAAATGTTGGCACAGTAACACCAAATTTGTGTTGTCGTTAATTGAATCTTCTTTTTTCTGGTGAATGGAGTGGATCTTGAATGTACGCATTAACATCTCACTAACATTGACTCATTGAGTTTTCCTTCCTTTTCTTTAGAGGTTGCTGCGTATGGTTGATGGGCTGAACTTCAAGGATTTTGTTTCCTTCCTCTCTACCTTCAGTGCAAAGGCCAGCGTTCAGCAAAAGATTGAGTGTAATGCCTAACTGTGATAATTTCCTTGTTGGTCTTTCAAACAAGTGCATGTTCACTGGGATTTCCTCAGCACTCTGGTAACCTGGTACTGATTTGGTTTCACTTTTCCATGAACCAGTGATATTCAAGGTGTATGACATTGATGGCAAGGGGAAGGTAACCTTCAAAGACCTGGTAGAGGTTTTGCGGGACCAAACAGGGTCATTCATGACAGAGGAACAAAGAGAGGTGCCCATTTCTTTCCGTGCTTCATAATAATAATGTCGAGGCATACAAGTATATGCTATTCCGATTCCTCATTTCGTATTCAAGTAACTGTTTATTCTTATATCTAACAAGCACGGCATTTTTTTTGTAAGTAACATAAGAAATAAGCATAATTTGATTTTTTTTTTATTTTTTAGACTTTTTTACTTTTCAATTTTATTAATAGACCATTCCAAAAAAATATTTCTAGATCTGAACCTTTTGGCCACACCAGCCAAATAACTCAGTCACGCCACACACAGCCTCTTGCCACGCCACTGTGGCTGGCATGGCCAAACAATGCTGTCATGCGAGCCACTCGGCTGGCGTGGCCAAAAGGTTTAGTTTTCGGAAATACCTTTTGGAATGGTCTATTAATAAAATTAAAAAGAAAAAGAAGTCCAAAAAATAAAAAAATCGCATAATTTATCGATGCTTTCGTTAAATATTGAGTCCCATCGGTTTGCCTAATAAGCTAAAGCAAAAGATAAAATTAAATTTTCGAACTTAATTTTTGAAGTTGATTTTAAGATATTTTGAACGTATTTTTTTTAGCATTGGTTTTTAAGTCGTTACGAACAAATATATAAAAGTTTTACCTATAAAATAATTTTTATTTCCTAATGAGCCGTTTTGACTTATTAGAAAATAAGAGCAACTGATGAGGCTCATTGACAAATCCTATCGATACCTTTCAGCGAGTAATAACAAATGTACTGGAAGAAGCTGGATACACAAGGGATTGCACGCTTTCTTTGGAAGATTTTACCAGGGTACGACACAATTTACCACAGCTTACCATATACTAGTACATTTCTTCTTTGCGTGCTGCATATACTGTTCAATTAGGGCTACTGGGACAGTTTTTTATTGCATCAACACACACTAAAAGCAGCTATGAAACTTTTTTTTCCCTTATGTTTCCAGATTATAGATCATCCTGGCCTAAAGATGGAGGTGGAAGTGCCTATTGACTAGTGGCCCGTGCATACCTCTGGTTTTGGTTGCTGAACATAACTGTGCATAATCAATAGGACATGCAATGCAACAGAAGAACGGGCGTTCATCCTTCTGCTTTCTTCTGTACTGTAGTTCCACATGCCTCAACCCCAGTAGTTTGTTACGATGCATGACTGAATCTTTTGCTCATCTCGCCGTGAGCCTGTCAATGTAATTTAGTGGATCTTGTCCCCTATTGTAGAGACAAAAACTCCAAATTTTGGCGATGTGCACCGGTTTCACATGTTGAATTGTGTTGATGCTTGATGTGCACATCCCAAGTCGTGAGATCAAATATGGATGGCTCAGATTAAGTATTAATAGCCTAAGGCCTTGTTCGGTTACTAGGGATTAAATCCCCAAGGGGAAGCAAACCAGGGAGGGATTGAGTGAATCCCTTCCATGTCACTCAAACCCTATAGGGATTAAATCCCTTGTTTCTTCCAATCCCTCTCTTAGAAACCCTGTGTTCGTTTTGACAGGGAATATACTGGCTATGGGCAGGGAATTTAACAGCGTATTGCTAGCTCTCTTTATGATCTACTAGTATTACAACTATTAGTATATTTAGTTACCACTGTTTACCTGTAAGCAGTAGTGCTAGTACCCTGTGACAGTAGCACAGGAGCAAGATCAAAAGTACCATCGGTCTATTTCAGAGAAAACTAGAAAACATATACATGCTTGTTACAACTTCTTGGATCAAGAAAGTTGATGCCAATGTGGTGCCAGCCAAAAGTACAGGAGATGTTTATACAGTATAATAAGAAGATTGTTCTGATTCCATTCCCTTACACTCAGCAAGTTGAATCCTCTGCCGACGACTTCGATGATTAATTAGTCCAAATGCACAACAAAATCCAAACTTCTCCCAACATCCCCAAAATGACACAACAGTAGACCATTCATTGGATGGTTAATTAGTCTAAATGACACCATCAGAAAACTGCTACCATCAAAGGAATTCTATGAAACATCCTACCAGTCAATTTCAAGGAGCCTGCAAGGAAAATCAGTTATTAGACATCAGTTTACCTATCTCAGAAATAAAGAAACAAAACTGCTACCATCCAATTATTCTTTTTTCTTCTACCAGACATAATGCAATGAACATTATAACGCACAAAGTTTCAGACTCAAGTGTATAACAGATGTGAATCTTGAGTTGCCTGAATTTTAAGAGGATGCAGAAATCATATATAGTGGATAGACAGATATATGGTGAATGTAGAAAAGGATGACCACCTCAACCTTCTTCTAGTTTCTCTCTCTGAAAATTAGAATGTGTGGAAGCACAATTCAGCCTTGACAACACAGTAATAATGAAGCACATAGCTAGAGCCACACGGTACCTCAAAAAACATTCTTTCATCAGGTTCATCACCTATCGAAACATCCATAAAGACAATTGGGTTCTTCTTCTTTGCCATCTTCCTGGAGCACAGCACTATCCTGGAGCAAAGTAGATACTTCAAAGTAAATAAAATGAAGGGAAATAGTTATGGTACAAAACAAACTGAGATATAAGAACAACAGTACTGAATTCATCACAATTTCAATCTTCTTCTCTGAGAATCACACAATCATATTTATGCACTGCAACAGGTCAGTCACTTCACATGTTCTGCTTTTGAAAATGTCTACTTTCAAATACAGGTCCTTTGCAGGCAGCAAGCAGCAAGCAGTCACATCAATACATAGCACCAAATTCACTAAGACTACATGCTCATTTCTGAAAGTATGTCCAAAAACTGTTATTTCTGAAAAATGCAAGCTCTAATAGATAAGAATCAGATTCACTAAGGATCAGATCCAGGAAGCACATGATCAGAGCTTCAGATTAACAGAGGAAGTATAGTTACTAACCAACAGAAGAAATCCTACAATGCTACTACCTCATATGATTTCACAAACTACATCCTTATTATTGCCGGAGAAAACTACTAATTCATGTTTAAATCTCTCAAAAACCTTGTCATCTTCAATATACATAGCGCTTGGTATAGCTGGAAGTGCACATGCATGTATGGCAGAGAACTAGCTAGCTAGTTGCGGCTTTCTCCGGTTGCATAACAGTACAACTCTTTGTACATGGTGAAACACCTGGTTGATTTTTCTAAGCCCAAATGCCCAAGTACCGCTGACTTTTATATTATCCTAGTACAAAACAATATTGGTTGCTTCAGAAAAAGGTCCCTCAAATGCAACTTCCTTGGGAGACATCTTGCTTATCATCAGGACCAAAGCCACAATGCAACTGACGAGGCAATGGAAAAGTACAAGACTGTCTAGTTTACCATTAGCATTCACCAAGGATGTTCCCATTGTTACTACACTAAACACTTGCTTAGTTGCTTGCTAGCTACTGGTAATAGAGTGCGACTCTGAAATCTGAACTTACTTTGTAGACAGATCCAAAACCACCTTTTCCAAGCAAACTTTCACTTGAGAAATTATTAGTTGCATCTTTTATGTCAGAGAAATCATACAGTTTAAAGCCGGAGTTGCCCTCTTCTAACCTCTAGTGAGTTATTACATTCTATACTGCCATGGACAGCCTTCGCAACTCTGTTTCTTACTCACCACGAGTAAGAACTCACCGGGAAATGCAGCAATCAAGAACTCACCATGCCCAAATCAAGAACTAATGAGATGGTTTAGGACGTGCGGCGGCGGCGGCGAATCAAGAACTCATACCCACCCAACCAAGAAAAAAAAGGCTCATTCCCCATCTGATCAAGAACTCACTAATCCTCACCCAAATTAAGAACTCACCAGATCGAGCAGGATACGAGGGGGACGACGACGAATCGCGGCGACGATGGGAAAGGGAGAAGAGAAGAAAGCCCTAACCCTAGCTTTGGAAGAGGAAGGGAGAGGGGAAAAGGCTGCGTGCTCACCAGAGAGAAGATGGCGGCCGGAGGAGAGCGCCGTGCCGTCGCCGTCGCCTCCGCGTCGCGCTGCCCCCGCGTCGCGCTGCCCCCGCCGTAGCGCCACCTTGAATCGTCTCCGCGTCGTGCTGCCGCTGCGCGTCGCCACCCGGCTCCCGTCGGGCTGAGGATTTTTCCAACGCCACACGAGAAGCTGATTTTTTCCCGGGCCGGGGTGAGGGGGAAAGGCCGGGATAGGCCGGGGTAAAACCCAGACTGGGCTTAACCGAACACACAATTTCGCATGGGCCGGGATTGTTTCCTCGCCGGGGTGATCCACAGGGATTGGGCCCCGATCCCGGCTGGGAACGGCCCAACCAAACGAAGGCCTTAGGCTGACTTTGTTAGAACTGGTTGGGAACAAAGTATGCTGTGCACGGAAAACAGAGTGGTCTATTAGCGTGCGATTAATTAAGTATTAGTTATTTTTTCCTTCAAAAATGGATCAATATAATTTTTTGAGCAACTTTCGTATATAAACTTTTTTTAAAAAATATACCGTTTAGCAGTTTGAAAAGCGTGCGTGCGGAACACGAGAGAGGAGTTGGGAAAACTGGCCGCCGAACACAACCTTAGTAAGCTTAAGCTTGCGCTGACACCGCATCAAGGTGATTCCCATTTCTCCATCCAAACGAGAGGGACATGGATCAAATTGGAACTTACTATTATTTCTTCTTTTCAATTCACATCCTTTTGTTCATACATTTCCTTAACCCTTTTTCCACCTAAAAGAATGGCAAATCACAGAGCTTTCAGCCTTACAGTTTACTTCATTTTGCAGCAGGTGAGCATGCTTTGCCTCTCACCCACAATTACTCTAAATCTATGAAGATAATAAACATCATCCCAAATTCACACAAAAACCAATCAACAATCAACAATATCTACCTACAGGCAGGAGCATAGAATCTGGGAATATGAGCAAACACAATGGAGTAAGGAGCCACTGTTATGGGCTGTGTTCCCTCCACCTGCACAGGCTCCAGCTTAGGGATCTCTCCATTGGCATCAGGTGCCAACACATTGCCATTCAGCAGCACATGCTGGCTCTGCAGGCTCCCATCTTTGGGGGTGAGATGGTACTCTTCTCTGATGAGCTGAGCTTCTTCGCCGAGCCCGGGGATGCGTCCGAACCTTCTGCGGCCCTCCTTCTTTGTGCTGTAAGGTTGCACGCCTTCGCTCGTCACGTAGATATGGTTTGTGTTGTTGCCACTGAGGTTGATCAGGAGTAGAGTGATCCCACGCTGAAAATTCAGAGGAAATTTGGTAGTGTTCAGTTAGCTGATACACTTCGTCGCAGACGGATAAAGGGGATCTCCTTCTTTGTTTGTTTGAATTGCATGTTATACTACTTACTGAATCTCTTGCGCAATGTGCGTAAGCGCGGATCTTGTTGGTGCCGTTGAATGTTGCCGAGAGAACCTTGGTTCCCATGAGGCGGTTCCATAGTAAAGCACTGAAAGAGAGCCAGAAAAGTTGGATGAAGATGGTGACCTTGGTACACTGTTTCACTCTATAAGATTGAATGCAGTGGAAACGATCTTTTTAGCTTTGCTATAAGATTGAATGCAGTGGAACCAATCTTTAGCTTGGTTATATTAGGTATGTGCTGTCAGATTCTTATAATTGGTTGTTCCCGGAAAGAAAAGATTCTAATAGCTGGAATATATTCTGCACATGTAGGGCATATGCCCCCATTAATTCTAATAAGTTTATGGTGCCAGTTCATCACCATGGATGATTAAGTATTGTTATTTATGATCCAGCGTAGGACAACTATGTTCCAATGAAGTACTTCCACATTAGGTAAAACCTTTCCAAGAAAAAAAAAATAGACATGCAGATGTATTTACCTGTAGTAATCAGGGTTTGGTTCAAACGTTGTTGTGTTGAGCAGACCATAGTTCCCTCCAATCAAGGTCTGTCTGCAGTAGGTCTTTGTGTCATACTTAGATGACATTCCTAGCTGATCCAAGTACCTGAAAAATTGTTAAAGCCTAATCAGTAATGGCTTCTTCAGAGGATAACTTGAGAAGAAAATGATGCTCCAAAATCTTTACCAGAAGCTGAACACAAAAGCATCAGTTACAAGGTGGTGACCACTGTTGTAAGCGCCTCCAGCCTCGCCGACCCACGCGACGGTGGACGTCCCTGCAGACTTCAGTATCCCCTGGAGACTGCTGAATGTGCCGGCCTCGCCGTCGAGGTAAGACGGGTCAAGAATTTTATCAATCAGGTGCGTGTCGACGCCTGAAATATTCAGAATTTTGTCCATTTAGGCAGATTCGAAGCTTTGAGCTCATGTACTGAATTCACGGTCAGTGACAGGGATCATACCAGGGCCTAGATTGTAGATGTGGTGAGTCATCACATCCATCTGGTTTGGCTTTGTTCTGCTGATAAGCTCAGTGAACCAGGCTGCATCAAAGAAACCTCCCGGTGCGATCACCAGTGGCTTTGATGCATGGCCTTGGTAGGAGTTGTCAATGATTTGTTTCAGAGCTAGAACATCTTGTGCATATTGGTCTGCATCAACTCGAGCTCCAACTCCACTGCCACTGAGTTCATTTCCTACAAGGACAGTATGTTTTCTTTTAGACAAAAGGATTCCCTTTTTTTTTTTTAAAAAAAAACAAGGACTGTATGTTTGAGTTCCTAGAATGCTAGTACAAAAGTATTGTTCAGATATAAATTGCTCTTTAAGCAAAACTTTGGAAAGCAAAGAACATGACATGAAAGTATTCCCTTTTGTAGATTGACGCGTGAAAAGCCAGTAAAAGCATCATCTATGATCGTTATACTAATAGATAGCTCAACACTATCTAAATCGATGTCGACATACTTGTCTGGACTCATTCCTGCCAACCTATCAGATTTCTTTTCCTAACCTAAAGTAGCTTGAGAATAATACCATTGCAAAAGAGAGAGAAGTTCTTTAATCTAAGATAGCTCACAAAAACAAACATACCGAGTTCCCATCCATGGATGTCATAGCCCTTGCTGACAGTGTAGCGAATGAAGGAAGCCGCATTGGTGTAATTCCATGGCCCTCCTAAAGAATCATCAGACATTGGAACCCTACCATTCAGAGCATTCAGCCCAAAGATAATTTTTGCTCTGCATCCATAAAGTATCCAATCAGTAATCAAAAGTCCAAACAAAACATTGCTTTTTTGAGGCTGAATCGAGCTGAATACACTGGAAGTACCCTGATTTTTGGAAGAATGCATTGAGCTCGTCCCATCTATGCAACGGCAGGCAACCTTGAGTGAAACCGAACATGGCCGATGAGTTCTTCGTGAACGGAGTGCACGGCTGCCGAGGATCGCCGGTGTCGTATATCAACACATCCTGCAAGGATCCTCCCAGCCTAAGCTTCAGAGGTGAGAATGCTGCAAAATGAATTAGCTGCAGTCACTTGACCATTGTACCAACTGCGAATTACCGTTGTCAGATTGAAAATGGACGGCTCTGAAATATTCCCAGCAAAGACAGGAAATCGTTTTGCCGGTCAACTTCTTGAGCTTGCTTGTCTCATGTTTAATTTTTATTCTGAAAGATTCTTGAAGCATGACATGGACCTAAAAAATTTTCTTCTTCTTTTGATTGGACAGTAAGACAGCATTCATGCAACTGAAAGTGATGACCATGTAGTAGCTTACCTTTGACGGCATTCAACAGGATTTTGTTTGAAAGATCCTGCGGAGGAAAACATTAAAGACCTGTGTCAATCAGATAATCATTAAAGACCTGTGTCAATCAGATAATCACCCGTGCTCATGACCATAATTATTGTACACTTTTGCAAGGTAGCAACCAAAGAATCCCAACTTCCAAGCTAGCACAGTTGAGTTCTTGCTTCTTCTTCTTCTTCTTCTTCTTTTTTTTTTTAAAAAATCACAGTTGAGTTGAAGAGGCACGCAACAAAATAAACTACTGTTGCTACCTTTCCTACCACTGTGTACCTCTTTTCATAAAAACCTGACCCAAACATTCTTTAAGGTAGTAGGCTTTACATTTGCACATGATTTGGTAGGAAAAGGTTGTGATGCAAATGGAAATGCAAATGGACCGACAAAATTATAGGTCCATGAAACTCCCTAGGCCGTCAAATTCCTATCCAACACAGCTCCCAAAAAGATCCAAACCAAACCGTTGCCGACTACATAAAAAAAAAGAGAGAAAGAAATGCATTTGCACAAGAAACATCCTTGAAAACCACGTCCATGTTCTACGGAATCGCATTGCAACGAGATGATATACTAAACTACTAAATTTACTGTCAATTCTGGAACTCAAATTTGAAAAACTTTCCAAACAACTTAACATGAAATGGGAAAGGAAAAAAAAAGAAAAGAAAAGAAAGAAAAACACAGACCATGTTGAGGAGGGTGGCGAGTCCCCAGCTGCAGGTGCCGTAGTCGCACTTGTCCGGCGGCCACCAATCCAGCGTCGCGCACACGAAGTCCTCGTCCGTCACAGCAATGGCGGACCGCGCGTCCACCACCACCGCCGCCGCCGCCGCCTCGCCGCCGGCGTTGGTGCTGACGGTGGCGGCGCCGCCGAGCCAGAAGACGGCCCAGAAGCAGAACCCGACCAGCTTCAGCAGTAGCCCCGCCGCCATTTTCCGGCAGCAGAGGCGGCGTTACCAAGAACCAAGAAATCTAAGGACACGAGAAAGGGGAGAAGCTAAATTAACCAGAAAGATGATGCAAAGGCGAGGGCATTGCACCTTTGGGGAGGAGGAGGAGGAGGAAGAGGGAAGCTTCTTGCCATCTCCACCATGAAAAGCATCAGGAGGAAGCAGTGCAGAGGAGAGGAGGAAGCTGAGCTGCTGTGCCTGTGCCTGCCTTTAATGGTTTGGTGGTGAGAGGGAAAGCTTGGAATCTCAGGGAGGGAGGTTGCAACAGAGGAAAGTCACTAGGATTATTGTATTAACTCCCATGCACACACATATATAATCTTCTTTAAGCTCTTGCTCTTTGTACTGTTGTATATTACTACCTCCGTTTCAGTTTACAAGACGTTTTGACTTTAGTCAAAGTCAAACTGCTTTAAGTTTAACTAAGTTTGTAGAAAAAATAATAACATTTTCAACCCAAGAAAAATTTATTATGAAAATATATTCAATTATTGATTTAATGAAACTAATTTGGTATTATAAATATTACTATATTTGTCTATTAACTCAGTTAAATTTGAAGTAGTTTGATTTTGACCAAAGTCAGAACGTCTTATAACCTAAAACGGAGGGAGTAGTTTTCTTCCTTCATTTATATTGGTAAAAAACACAATTTTGCGTTAGTAAAAAGAGAGAATTTGGAAAATACCATTGCAGAGATAGGTGGTGAGTTGTTGCAAAATATCATTGTACACTAGAAGAGCCTCCACGTAAAGTATCACCTAAGTGGTACTGTTCATGAGGGATTTCCTTCGAATTACGCACAAAACAGAGGGTTTTTTTTTCTTTTTGCAAAATTTCCACCACCGCATGCCTCATCACTCCCATCCATGCCTGATCGGACGGCGGGAGGAAAAGGGGTGACGTGGCCCGCGCCTCCATCGCCCCAGAGCGCCACGCTTAATAATACCTGATGGCATACAAGACGATCTCGACCTACGTGCCAACATATATTATGATATTTTTTAGCCGTGTGATTTCTGTTGTGGTGTTAGGAAAATGAAAGAAAAGATAAATTATATAGTACTACCCCTGTTTCATATTATAAGTCATTTGATTTTTTTTCCTATTCAAACTTTATTAAGTTTATAGAAAAAATAGCAACATCTAAAAGATCAAATTAGTTTCATTTAATCTAACATTGAATATATTTTGATAATATGTTTAGTTTGTGTTGAAAATACTAATATATTTTCCTATAAACTTAGTCAAACTTCTCCAAGTTTGACTAGAAAAAAAGTTAAACGACTTATAATATGAAATGAATGGAGTAATTCAAAAAGTAACCGCAGGTGCCAAAATTTTATATTAAAATTTTAGTACTTGAGATATCAAATTTTACATTACATTTGAAAATGTGATATCACCTAATACCTTCGATGGTAAAATTACCTGAAAGAACAACATAATTTATGTTAGAGGATAGATGAACTGTCTCATGTGATATGGCTGTTGCTGTGCCTTGGCACTTAACATGGAAACTATTTGAGAATATAGATAGTTGCTAATGTTTGATATGGTACTCTCAAACATAAGGAACACAGTGAGGTGAGATCAATGGATATCCATATAGATGTAGTGAAGTCAGACGGGACAACCATTGTCACTAGATGTAGTATTTCTTTATAAATTATATATGTCCTGGAGAGAGATCATAGGTTCTCGATGAGTACTTAAAAAAATAATATATAAGCATTTTTTATATAGTGACAAGTCAAATATTTTTAACTTTGACTATTAATACTAAAATAATAAAAAAGATCAATTATATAAACAAATTCATGCTACTAGGTTTATCATTAAATAAACTATTATAATATGTAACTCTTTCTACTTAAACCATTTTACTTTTAAAGATATTGTTGATCAAAGTAGCATATTGAAGACCGTGGCTGAGTCTAAAAATAATATTTATATTTTGAGATAGAGAGGGTACTTACTACTGTGTCTGCAAGTGGTGACTGAATAAAAAGAAGTAGAAAATGCCATGGAGCTCTTCCGATGAACACTGCCTTTTTCTGCAGAGCTGGAAAGTTCATCTTTGGCAGCCGTGAGGATGGACAAGCAGAATAAAAAGTCTATAGGTATCCACCGTCTTTATGCGTTTCCTTTGAAACGCACGACTGAAAAAAAAAGATTTTGACAAAAAATTAAGTACAAAACAAAAGATTATAAAAAACAAAATTTTTTAGAAATGATCGTTTGATTGCACCGTAGTTAAAAAACATAGAAATAGGATAAGAGATAGACTCATAAAATTTTTTTCATGAGATTAGACCTCATATTAAAAATACTACAAAACCTTTGTAATAATTACCAATCCGTTTCAAAGGACCATATAAAAAGAATCTAATAGAATTAGTATACTACAAAATTCATTTTTTTTTCAAATCAAAGTTTAATCTTCAGCTAATTTGAAGATTGTACTTACTTAATTGGTTCATGCTATGCTACTGACACATTAGTGTTCTCTCCGATAATCAGGTTACAAATATAACAAGATTATTAAGTAGATTGTTACTATAGATTATCTATTTAATTAAAAAAATAAATTAAATGTTTTAATAAATGAACTTAACATATATATAATTTAAAACATGTGATCGAAGTAATATAAGTAATACAATATAAGACTTTTTTTTTAAAAAAATATATTCTTTTAATACGTGAAGCAAATAATCCGTTTTAATAACTTGGTAAATAATTTGAAAAGGAGAGCGTGAGAATGTGAGACCGAGGCATCTGTGTGTAAAAGCAACGAACATTGGCCATAGCAACACAAAACATACAACATCTGTAAACTTATTCTTTTTTAACAATAATGGAGTTCATTCCAGTATCCACATCGATATGTATCCGGTAGATTTATAAACTTAATATATCACCTTATAATTGCATATATATGTTACATTCTCTCGATTAAACGGTCACCCAAGTTACAAGCGACCGTGAGCTTTATTTGTGGGGGTTTGCTTCTTCCTGAGGAAACGTCAAGTGCTTTAGCCTACACCGAATACTCATTAAGTAATCCAATCCATTCCATGCTGGATTAGTACTCCCAAATAACTGCTCCGTTGCCAACAGACAGCGTCGGTACACCTGCATCATCGTCATAACTAGCGGCGCCTGATTGCCAAAATTGCTAGTATTTAATAATCAAATTATTATGACTTTCTGTCAATGTCCTTTCTCTAATTGATCTTATTCTTTTCCAGAAACAAAGTTGTTCTTCCTTTTTTTTTTCTTTCTGTCTCTCCGTAGCATGATAAGATTGAAAGATTGGCTAATGATGGGAGTTGTTGATTAGTAGATGACCAGTGTTTGTGAGTCTTGTGACAGGGATATACTACTAGTAAAAAGGTACTCCCTCCGTTTCACATGTTTTGATTTTCTTTAGTTAAATTTTTATAAGTTTGATCAAATTTATAGAAAAAATATAGTAACTCTTACAACTCCAAATTAGTTCTATTAAATATAACATTGAATATATTTTAATAATATATTTGCTTGGTGTTAAAAATATTGCTATGTTTTTTTCTATAAGTTTAGCTAAATTAAAAAGTTTGAAAAAAGTCAAAGCATATAATATGAAATGGAGAGAGTAGGAATAGTAAAAGGAATGGAGTTGTACTGCTCAACCTGAATTCTGAAATCCTGATGAAAAAACACGAAGCAGCAGAGCCTTTTGCAGAAAGAAACTGTAGCAGGAGGAAAGAATTGGATAGGCAGCCGACACAATAGGAAGACAGTGAAAGTGCTCGTGACCATTGATTGAGATCCATATCGATCGCAAGGCAAATTTCAATGCTCTAGTAGTGCTCTAGCTAAAGAAAAGAGTATAAGGTTTACGCGATGTGGATGAATGGAAATGTTGTAGAATCATGTGATGATTTAATCGTGGATATGAACAATTGTTAAAGGTAAGTGTTTTGTGAAAATACGGTGTGATGCGTTTTCGGTTGTCGGCTTAAGTGGACAGTCAGGCCGGGCGGGTGCCGCCGGTCAGACCGGTGGTGATTGGGCGGTTTGACCCAGCAGACTTTGGGAGGGAGATGGTTTCAGGTTGTTTTCATGAAATTTCTATATTGCTTCATGGATATGACTTCTAGATGATTTCTATTCGTATGTGATACTATTGTGTGCTGATGTGAGTCAAGTTGGTGCGAACTTGTACTCGGATATAAAGTTTCTTTGTTGTTCATGTGCAGGTGTTGCTTAAGTCTATGGGAGTATAGACGGTGATGGATCGGGACTAGGCTTGGGAGAAGTTAAGGTCCACATAGTCAAGAATATCACTCGGGATGCTCAGACTAGAGAACAATGCATGTGTGGAGGTGAAGGTTTCTACGTGGCATACACACGTGGTGTTGTGTGCCTATGAAAAGAGGAGTCATATTTGGATTGGAGACAAGTTTGGGAAGTGTGAAGTTTGGAGTTATACGGGGATGTTGTTTCTCTGGTTTGATAGGCTTCCTATGTGATTATGACTCTTAGTTCTAGTTAGATTCGTGGCTAGGTGGCAGCCATGTTTTGGGTATAAATAGATGAGGGGTTGAGATTAGAAGGTATCGACTTTTTGGGAGAGAAAAGTTAGGGTTAGCTTCTAGGTTTCAATCCTAATTCGTGTGTTTAGAGAGGAGTGCTTTAGATGCATTTTGTAAACATATATTGATGCAATAAAGTTTATCCACTTTCAAGAGTTTCGTCGATATATGTTTTTCTAGATCCCGACGGTTTGACCGACGGGGCGGCGGTCTAACCGGTGGCATGGTAGCGGTCTCACGAGAGGCGACCAACCGGTCTGACTGACAGTGGCGAGCAGCAGCAAGTGTGGAGGTGGCAGTCTGACCGGCTGGACAACACCGGTTAGACCGGCGGCATAGGAACTGTCAGACCGATGAGCACACTGCGATCAGAATGGCTACGCCGAGATCTTCATCAACTATGAGGGTAACTTTTATTTCCGCTAAAAGTTTTTAGTTTTTTGGTGTTACAACCATTCACCCTCTCTGGTTGGCTTGGTTCGTATGATTCGATGCTACAAATGCTTTACATACGAAGTGAGCTACTGAGCTATATGGAGTTCATGTGTGTTTTACTGCATCTTATTGCTGCCGTTGCTGGTTTATTTTCCACCATGCTATTTGCTCTCCTCTTAGGTCAAAACATGTGAAATCCTTTAAATTCCCGCAATCTAAAATGAGTCAAAAATCATATAAAATTTCTGCCTATCTTTGGTCTAAA